AGTTTCTTAGCTTTATATAATGGTTGGGAATAAGATAATAATCTAGAAATATGTATTAATGCTTCTTTTATCATTTTACAAACTATCTTTGCATATTTCCACAATGTCTCTAATTTTTACAATATTTCCCCTCGACATTTCCGACATATGTCCTATATTTTGGTAAGCGACATTTCCATCGACATCAACATTTTAAATCTTGTTGGAAATTAACTTTGGAAACTGTAATTTGGTGGGAGAGTTAAGAGATCTTATCTCCCCTAAATCTGTCTCTGTATATATTTCCCCTTTTATTAATGAAAGTTGTGAGTTATTGATCAAAAAAAATTGTAGTTTGGTGGGAATTGGTTTTGAGAGAGTGGAGTTGTAGGAGTGTTTGGGTGCTTTAGGGTGTAAATTGCAAGAGTGGCCAATTAAATGTTTAGGGCTTCCTTCGGGAGGTAGTCCTAGAGATATAAGAGGGTATTATTGAAACATTGTCAAAAGGTTGGCCTCTTGGAAAAACACTTACATCTCTGAAGGGGGAGAGGATCAAGTCCATACTGTCCAATCTCTCTGAAGGGGGACTTGGCTTTGATGGGTGAGTGGGTTTGGAGGTTCCAAAATGAAAGAGGGGCATTAAGGCATTTGGTCACCCAAATGGATGGAACTCGGGAACTGCTTGGGGTGTTAAAAGAATAGCCTTTCCAGGTGTTTCGGGCAGCAGAGATAGAGAAGTCTTTTAATTTTATGTTTCGGACACTCCTGTCTACTATTTATCATAAACAGGGGCATATTTGCGATTCAACATCATTTTATTATTAATATAAAGGTGGTCCGACTGCTTAGAGAGGATTTTGAAAGTTTAATCCTTCTCAAAAACAGATCGGCAGCTTTCTCCCTTCTCTCCTCTCTTTTCTCTCTTCTCCTCTCTTCACCGCTCTTCTCCTCTCATCTCTCCTTTCTTTCTTCTTTTCTGGTTCAAACTTTGTTGTTGATCTGCTGTACCACATTTTCATAGGGCCAACCTTGAAAAGCTCTTGGAAAACAACTTTGACTATACTTCCTCCCTTCATGCAAAATATAAGATATTATGTTGTCTGAGAAAGAGGGAAGAAGTTTTAGGAAGATACTGTGGTGTTAAAGAAATGCAAGGATACAAACCGGTGGAGGAAGTGTTTGAACAATGATAAGGAACGCTCATTGGAATGTGATATTTAGGGAGTTGAAAGGCATTTCCCTAAATGATTTGCTAGAGTGGCAGGTTGTTGTTGAATTGCAGATAACAAGACAACAAAGGTTTGTTTAATGGTCCCCTCTTGCTGCTGGGGTGTTTAAACTCAACGTTCAATGATGCTGCCTTGGAAACCCAGAGCTTTCTGCTGTGGGAGGAGCTGTCAGGGATCATTGTGGTAAAACAATTCTAAGTTATTCAGGTCCAATGGGTCAGGGTAACTCATTAAGGGCCAAACTTTTGACTTTATTCCAAGGATTAAGACTGCTGGTAATGCAGGAAATGAGGAATGTAGAAGTAGAGAATGACTGTCAAAAGGGTGCTTAGGAATGCTAATATACTGTCTGATTCATTGGCCAGTGAGGCTGGCTGACTCACTAGGTACTGCCATGAACACCTCAGTCAATTGGGTGCTTACGAGTGCTAAATGCTAGCTGGTTCATAGGGGAGATTAGTTTTGCATATGTTGGCCCACTGCCTGCTTTTGTGTACAGTTGGGAGTTTTATTAATGAAATATATACTGTTAGCTATCAAAAAAAAAAGAAGGAAAGAAATCATGCTCCATACTTGTCTTGGGTAGAAAATCAATTATTAAGAGGTTCGCATAGTTTTGAAATCACCCTATCCACAACTACGTCAAACTGTGAGCAGGAATCTTCAAACTAGGGAAACAAGAATCTGTAAGGTCCACAATAATGTTGTAAAAGAGAAGTATTAAAGATTTAAAATAAAGGTTTTGTAAACTTCTTATACGTTAGTGTTGACGCCAAATTTTATAGATGGTACCGATTACTATTAGGAAATTATTGAGTGTGAATTTCAAATAGTTCTTATAGATGCTGAATCCTAAGAAAACTGGCCCTTGATTCTTAGAAATATTTTAACTCCTTTTCTCTTATTTTACAAGACTATACTGATCACCACCCCAAGACAGAAGATTATAGAACTCACAGGTCATCACCCCTTACATGTTAAATATGTTGGACCAAAGACCAGCTCTGATTTACCACCTTCTCCTTCAAATCTTCTGATATGGTACCCAGACTCTTACAGCATTTGGTACTACTTCTTAAGCTTTTCAGAGTACTCATGGTCATACCAGGAGACTTGGCTTCTCTGATTGCAGCCTGGCCATCTAAGGCATTCAGTACCAGGAGAAGGACATTGTGGCAGAAGCTCCTGAGGCCTTGTGCTGGTCTATATGGTTGGGGTGTAATAGTAGCATATTTACTCACGTAGGGACAGATCCTGACCGGTTCACTGGGAAGATTGAGAGGTGCTTAGTTGAATCAGCATGTGTTCTGAAGGAATTCAAAAGCATGAAAAGAGAGATGTTCTTTAAACAATGGGAGAGGATCCTTTTTGTGGATTTTGTAAATGAGTGAACAGTGAACATACTATATTAGCACTTAGCGGTACATCTTTTGTATAGCTGTATAAACCTATATAATCACATCTTGTACCTAGTTTAAGGGAATCTCGCACTCCTTTTGAGTAATATAGTTCAATACTTTTTACCTTTTTCTGGATTATTTTCAATATTTTTACCTTTCAAAACAAAAAAAAAGAAGAGTTCCAACATTTAAGGCACAGGGATTCTAAGAATGGTATTTGAGGTTCTTTTTTTTTATTTAAAAAACGCACCCTCTGAAATAGAATCTACAACTACAACCTACCACCCAATCCCCTTTCCCTACATAGGGAACAAAATAAGGAAACCCCAACATTTTAGACACACAGACCCCTCCAACTCAAAGATCTGCTTTTGAGGTTCATGGTGATATCATTTTGGGTTGCTGTGTTTCTTTATTTAAATGACTGTTTCGTATCACAAAAGTCACTTACGACGATGATGAAATACCAACAAATCAATTGAGAGTAACATTTTAGTCAACTAAGCTTTTGTTACTTGTCTTCACCAAGGTTCAGCATTTAGACCTTATTTATTTGCACTAGTCATAGATGAATTGACTAAAAACCAAGTCACTTTGTCCCATGGTGCTTAATGTTTGCTGATTACATATAATGAAACTAATTAAATACAAAATTAGGTTTATGGGAAACCACATTAGAAACTAGAGGTTTTAAAATAAGTAAGACTAAACAAAATACATGCACTGTAAATTTAATAATAACAGTAGTGCAAAAGAGGGTACACACTTACCTTGGTTCAATAATCAACAATAAAGGAGATATTAACGAGGAGGCCACTCATAGAATTAGAGCAAGATGGACAAAATGGAGGGGTGCAACTGACGTCCTACGCGATAGGCATAAACCACTATGGTTAAAAGGAAAATTCTATAAAACAACTCTAAGGCCAGCAATGTTGTATGAACTATGGAGTAAAATGTTGGGCAAACAGTATGTCGAAAAAATGTGTGGCAGAAATGTAAATGCTTAAATTGAGGAGTGATAAAACTAAAAAACAGTCTTTTCTTTGTAGGAGGGGAAGAATTTGACAGAAATGCTTTTTTGAATCTAGAAAAGGGAGAGTAGAGTTGATTTGATCCTTTGGGAGTATGTGGGAAGTGTGGTGATAAAGATTGGTTAAATAAGGGAAGTAGGGGTGTTGAAAGACAAGGTTGAGAGTTTGGTTGGTAATGAAGCATTTTTTTGGGTTTAAAGGTTCTCTGTAAGCGGGTTGGACTTGCGGTTGATCTTGTTTAGAAGGGATACCTATCTAAAGATGGTTCTATGTTTTTTTTCTGATATTTATGTCTTATTTCGGGTGATTCCTTGTCGCCTTGCTTTGTATTCTGTTCTTTCTGATTTTAATATATTTTCTTTTTTATTTATCTTGAAAAAATACTAAAGAACGAAGCCCGAAATGAAGTCATATGAACTTAGGATTGATCACAAGCATAGAAGAGACAAAGAGGGGCAGACTGAAAGGGACTTTGGAGGAAGTAGTAGGAAATGATTTAACAATAGATATGGCATTGAACAGAACAGAGTGGCAGAACAGGATTCATGTAGCCGACCTCATATAGTTGGGACAAGGCTTAGATAATTATGACCAGCAATAAATAGTTAAATACTCCTTCATTTGGTCTACTTTTCTATTTTTGATAGGTAATACTCCTTCGTTGGTCATTCATATTTTTTGAAAATTTTCATGTCTACCCAAGTTCAAATTTCCTTAATCTTTCCCCAAATGAACAGTATTCCATTATTTTGGTATTTGTGAGTAAAACATCCTTCCTAATTAGATCAATCAACATCAGAAAATGTCAGCAGTGATACAGCATGATACATTTTCTCATCAAATACAGTATTCTACATTTAAATGAACAGTATTCTATTTAAGTGTAGAAAATGTCAGCAATGATACAGTATGCATTGTACCATATTTCTTAGGTTCCTCCTTTATTTCAGTTTCATCTTTGACTTCTTTGGTTGATGTTGGTTCTACTTTAGTAGCAGGTACATCTACAGTAACCACAGGCTGTGAAGCAGAAGGAGCAGGTGCAGCAGATGGAGCTGATACCGTGGACATTGGATATGGGAATGGTGATCCTGGAGAAAAGGCTGGTGCTCCCGGAGAGAAAACAGCATTTCCAAACTGTTTATTTTCTGTGGACATCTGGCCCATCAAAGTCTTGAAAGCCTGCTGCATGGCATATTTCTGACAGAAGATTGCAACCAGAAATTTAGGTGATGCATACAAGCAGATACTAAAATCATGCAGTTACTCAAATGCAGAACATAAAGTCAAATGCCAAACTTTGTAACAGAAAAATAATCTCTAACACACTTGCCACATAAAGTAGCATGAGTTCTAATTGAAAAAGAAAATAGACTAGGAAAATTAACTTAATTGAAATTGATTATTGTGTGATTAATAGTTATGGCAGTTTTTTATAACAAAACCTTTGTTGCTGAAACATAGTAAATATTGTATTTACAGATTTATGTCTGAGCCCAAAACATTTGTTCCCTAACCACCCCCTTGTTTAGCCAAAGCATCAGCCTTAGTATTTTCTGATTTTTGCATGCACTGAAACATTGCACCTACCTCCCTTTGTAAGCCATTTGATTTCCTCAATGACTTGAATACTGACAAATTACCTGGCTGTTCATCATCCAGTGAACCACTGCTTTAGAATCCCCTTCAACCACAATGTTCCCAAAGTTCATCATCTTTGCTAGCCTCAATTCATGCAGATCAGTTAACACTTCTTCCCTTATTGAGTTCCCACTTCCAATAGGACCTGAAAATAGAGCTACAACAAATCCAAACTCATCTTCAAAATACACTTCCTACCCCTGATGGTCCCAGGTTTCCCAAACTACAACCATCAAAATTAAGTTTACAGTGACTACTCCACGGTGGCTGCCACTACCTCTTGGTACATGAGCTTGCTACCACTCTCCAATAGTGTATCATCCACTGAAAATGGGGCAAAAATGTCCATAGACTGTCTTCAGCCAATGCACTACCTTAACTTTGAAGTATTCAAAGATCATTTCTTGGATCAATTCATCCCATCGAAAATTCATGCATTACTCTCCTCCCAAACTTTCCAGAAGATAGTTAATCTAATGCATCTTCACAGTATCCTTCCCTGTCACCTCCAGAAATGGAATGTTGTTGGCTGTATTCAATGGTATACTTACATGCCTGCAGATTTTTTAATGGAATCAGTGATTTTGGTTATGTACTGTATTTAGGTAACTATTGGAAATGTTCCCATACTTTTCAGTCATGATGAATATTTGAGGCTTTTTCCTTCAGCTCTATATTGTCACCTAGCCCTGTTTTGCCTTGTCAGAACCGTTGTTGGCAATGGTCAATACTTGGCTACTGTGGGGATTTTTCTGGCTACAGTGGACATTGTTTTGGCAGTTTGTCAAGATGCTAGCAGTAGTTTTCTTTCATTTATTAACACTCGAAAGGGCTGGAGTGCATCTCTTCTCGCTTGAATTGCTGTCAGTACTGATTTGCTTCTTCTAAGTGCTGAGTGAAAACTCTTATTGATCCTAACTTGTGTAAAGCCAATAGTGAGAGTTGTTATCATCTTTTTGTCTTGTGCCCTGTTGCTATCATCTTGGATGTCTAACCAAGAAGGTGTTATAGATAGTATGATTAAGGCATAAGAGAACTAATAGTAAGGTTAGTATAGAGTTCAGGAACATGAAAATTGAATTGAGAGATTACACTTACCATATTTTTTATCATTTACACTTACCTTATCTTCACCAATACCAAATATTATAGTGTGAGATCCATCGTTTATAGTAATATTATCTCTCCTAGAACAGAGCTTATAGGAGGTTAATGTGAGAAGGCATATTGGGCATGTCATCACTAGCTTCGTATTCTATAACCCAATGACTAGAAATAGTGGTAAAGGAATTAAAGGCACGTAGGTGTCACTAGGACTCCCAGAGCTAGACACTTCACCAGAATAGTTTTCAAGGTGCCAAGGCAAGGCTAGGCGACAGGGGGGTACCTTGTTGCCTAGTTGCCTAGGCAGCAACTAGGTGTCACTTAGGCAATGAAATTTTTCAAGTAACAAACATATATCCTAGGGTACTTCCCTAGGTTTCATAACCATATTTCCTTAATAATTATCCATAATTTTCATAAGAAAAGTATAAGCTTCATGTTAAAATATAGAAAATCAACATATTCATGAGAAGAAAAAGAAGAAAGAAAAGAAAATTCAAAAAATATAAGGGCTGAAACCCTATTTTTGTTATAGGAAAAGAAGAAAAGAAAAGGGAATATGTGGAAAAAAATGTGTTTATTAGACAAAACTTTAAGTTCTTCCTTATTGGTTCAAGTTTTGAAGCCTTTGAGGGTTAAATACAGCATTTAGCAATGTCTGTGTTTATTAAACCCTAACAAACAACAAAATAAAAAAATAGTATATAAACACACAAAATGAATATTTTCATTTAAAAATGTCTATTTTATAATTATAATCTCAAGAAATTAAGAACATAAAAGTATCTTATAACACAATGAACCAAATAGCTTGGCAATTAGGCAAGGCCAGTCTCCAAGGGCACCTTGTAGCCTAGGTGTCACCTTGAGAACCATGTCCACCAGTCTTATCTTATAATCTCAAGAAATTAAAGACAACACATTTGTAATTATCTTATAAAGGCTACTATCCAAGCTAATTGGTCTGAAATCCTTTGGTTGAGAGGCATCTTTCTTCTTTGGGATTAGTGCAATGAAGGTAGAATTCAAGCTTGGATTGATTACACCCCTTCCATAGAATTCATCAAAGATAGCATTATGTCCCTTTCCAAAACATCCCAACAGTCTTGATAAAACGCCATTGTGAAACCATCTGGGCCTAGAGCTTTTGCTCTATCTATAGAAAATACCACCTCCCTGATTTCCTCTCCTTCAAATCTTCTTTCCAGCCATTGCCTATTTTTTGCCCCTATATATGGCCAATCCAATCCTTCTACCCACACCCTCCCATTTAGAGGCCTTCTACTGCCTCATCAAACCCCGTCTCTGTTCTTTATCTCCCACTTCAAAAACTCCCCTTTCTTCTTTTAGATCCAACAACTCAATTGGATCCATCAACAACCTTTTCCTTTCCTCAACCCTTCCAAACTCCAATTGGTTCCACTCCCTAATCTTAACTTTCAGATATTGAAGTTTCTTATGAAATCTCATACCTTCCCATTCCACTAAAGGGTGGCACTGATCCCACCATTCTCAGACTCTCTACATGAACCCCGAGTGAAGTAGCCACATGTTTTCAAACTTAAAAGGGGCAGGTCCACCACTCCTTTCCTCCTTGCAAATCACAATGGGCCAATTATCTAATGTCAATTTAGGGAGTTCTCTAGACGTTAAGTTTCCCCAATGTTCTTCCCACTCTGTTGACAAAAGAAACCTACCAGCTTAGAGCAAATCGAGTTTCATTGAAGGTTGGACCAAGTGAAGGTCTTTTGGGCTAATGGAATCTCCTTAAGCTCAAAAGTATCCACAAAAAGATTAAACTTCCTCATGCTTGTTGTTACTCTCTACTTTGAGCTTATGAGCTGAAAAGTGAAGTGAACAATATTAAACAAGGGGAGAAACCTGCATTTGTTTATTTTTCTACCTTGAAATCCTTGTGGCATGAAATTGATCGCTTGGAGGCCATTAAATGGGAAAACCAAAAGGATGCAGCAACATACAGGAAGTTGGTTGAGACAAATAGAGTGTTTGAATTTCTTGCTGGCTGAATTCAGATTATGACATTGTGAGGCAGAAATTACTTACCAGGGACAATGGCACTTTGTCTCAGGCTTATTCACTAGTACATAGTGAAGAAAGTAGAAGTAAAGTCAAGTTACAGATCCCACCCATGGAATCAATATTGGCAGTAGTGAAACCGAAGCTTGTAGGTGATAAGAAGAGGGATATAAAAAGGGAAGACATGAGGGACATAATTTGTGACATTTTTTTTTTGATAAACGAGAGTAATTTCATTGAAATAAATATCAGAAATACAAGCAGCCTAGGAAGAGGCACTAGATGTTACCTCCCCCAAGGACTGAATCATAAACACTAAACATGCCCAAACCTTAGATACAAATTACAAAGTAGCCCAAAACAGATCACCCCTTGCTTGGCCAGAGAATCGGCCTTACATTTGCTGATCTGCTAACCCACTGGAACCTAACAGTAATATTTCTTGTCATCCATTTAGCTTTCTTTAACAGATCCCTGTAGCCCCAACAAACTGTGTCTGGGCTATTCAGCCAGCGCACTACTACCTTGGAATCTCCTACTAACAAATTGTTCACTCCTAATTGACTATCATTTGTATAACTTGTACTGCTGCTAGTAGCTCTGCCCTTACAGAATCACCTTCACCGACTGGTCCTGAGAAAAGAGACAACATATTGCTGTCTTTATCTCTCAGAATTCCTCCAATTCCGGATGGCCCTGGGTTACCTTGGCAGCTGCCATCAAAGTTCAATTTTACCACTCCATCTGGTGGGAGTTTCCATTCAACTTGTAATTTGTTCTTAGTGGAGACTGTAGAAGCCACTATTTCCCAATTTCTCCTTAAATCATCAAAGGAGAATCTGCCAACAATTGTGAAGATTTCAGCCATGAGATTGTCTTTGTCAATATGCATTCCTTGACTTCAGCAAGACTTCTTTCCTTTTCTTGAAATATTCTACCACTTCTCTCCTCCCATAAAATCCACAAGGTGGCGGCTCTGATACATTTCCACATTATCTTCCCCTTCTTTGTCAATCTCCCAAGAGCATCTGGAGTGAACAGCAACTTTACTTCAGAGGGCAAGTTCCACCTGCACCCAAATAAAGAAACAACCCAGTTCCAAATATTGGCTGCAAAGGAGCACGATATCAGCAAATGGTTACAATCCTCACCATTCACTTTACACATAAAGCACCAATTTGGGGACAGACACAAAAAAGGTTTCTTCTTTTGCAAGTTTTCCACAATATTGATCTTACCATAATAGGCTTCCCAACAGAACACTGCTACTTTGGGGGGTATTGGCCTTGACCAAACCTCTTTAACAGGGAAGATCTAAGGAGAAGGGTTAGAGCAAAGGGCTTTAAAGAAAGATGCACAAGTGAAAGAGCCAATCGGGTTTAGAGCCCAAACTCTTTTGTTCGGGTTAGTGAAGTCCA